TTTTTGAAGCATTAAAAGGAGGTTGCAACCTCTTTCAGGGAAGGCTCAAACTGGGATGAGTGACAATGAAAGTGAATAATGATTTTTAGATTCATAGAAGCAGATAACTGTTGTGAGAATATAAAATATTTTTGCGCTCATCAAGATTTTTACACCACATTTTTATTGCTTGTGTTTTTCATGCCAGACCAGGCTCAAAGACAAGTTAAGCGTCTCATGTTTAAAAAGTTGCTTCCTAGAGCATAGCCCTCAGCTGATTTTCCACAGAAGCAGAAATACAAGCCTAATAACTTTAATTTGTCAAAGTTCTCATGGGATGTGGATGGAATGACTAAAACCCAGAATAATCCTTAGTAAGCTTTACCTTTATCTATTTTTTTCATCTACACAATCCAAGCCCATAAAATTATTCAAAATAATATATAGACCTCTAAAAAGGCCATACTTGTGTCTTTCTTTGTATCTGTCAAGGCATGAAATCCACAGAAATTTATTCAGATACACACAGAAGCACTAAGAACAGTTGTCACACCCTAAGTATTTCAACAGATAAGTTTTCCAGAAAACAGTTTTGCCAATTATCTTAAATATATGGACAGAAAACACAGTTTTCATTGTTTTCTGTCCATGTAATGAGGAAAGGGGTGTACACACAATTTTCCCCTAATTAATAAAATAAAACAATGAAAATGTGTTTTGACCATATACTTGAGATAATTAGCAAAACTGATTATTTGCTGAAAAATATATGAATAAAGATGCTCTAACATCTCTCTTGAAAATATATTTATGGTATAGTATGGGGGAAATATATTTTTCCATACCTTAGATGCAGAAAGGTTGGACAAAGTCTGAGAATCTTTCATTAATTTTCACGTCTTGTCCAGAGAAACATATTAATCTAGTTAGTTCACAAGAGTTTATTTAAGGTACAACACTTCTATTTCTAAAGTGAAGTTCTACATGAAAAATTGACTCATGAAAAATAAAAAAAGACAGTTTATAGTCCCAAGTTTATTGGCACTCAGTAGTTCACGTACAAAATATGCTTTTCTTAGAAAGTAAATATATGTTTTCTTCCCTCAAAGCATCAGCCCTGCAAACTCAGCTGTGCTCTTGACAATCATGTATCATGCTACTGTAGTGTACGTTCACAAGATGCATTATGTCCTCATTGACACCTATACAACCCCATTGAGGTTGCAGAAGTGTCTCTGACTGGAATTTAGTCAACAGTTCTATAGAAGATACATAAGGAAGGTTAGATTGCACACACCTACCCCGGTAATGTGCAGTGCTTACAGAAGCAAGGGAGCAAAAAACTTTTCTGTTAAAATTAGCATTTCTTAGGCTACGTCTAGACTGCAAGCTTCTTCTGGAATAAGCTTTTCTGGAAAAGATCTTACAGAAAAGCTTATTTTGAAAGAGAGCATCCACACAGGAAAAATGCTGCACTGTAGACATACCCTTAGAATACACAATAGAAATAAATCTATTGAGGAAGAAGGTATCATTTTAAACACAATTACTTTTCAAAAGAGACCTCTAAAAGTTTCATAGTTGTTACTAACCAATTTCAGCAGGGGATAACTAACTTAAATACCTAGATTTACATTCATTCTCACTTAAAAACCTGTCAAGGGGTTGTATTTTCTTGGGTCTCATAGGCTAGAATGAAGGAGAGCTGAAGGAAGATCTCTCAGCACCTTGTACATTCAGAGCCTATACTTGTTCTATTTTAAGATGCATTGCATAATTAGGCAGAAGAGATGTGAAGATAAATACTTAAAATGCAAAAAAAATCTTTGATCCATATGCCTTATGTTCTAACTTTAGCAGTCACAGAAAAGATATTTAAATTTCATAATTTGGTTTTTATATCAAAGCTGTTAAATCAAACCTTTTTATATGAAACATTGTAGCCAGGTTGGTCCCAGGATCTTACCGACAGAATATATGAGTGAGAAAATATTAGTTATAGTTATTTGATATAGTTATTTGATAGTTCTAGTTATTTAATATCAGCTATGATATATATATATATTATACTATATTTGAAATTAGTTATAGGATATATTTGATAGTTATTTGAGATAACTGTATTTTCCACCCATTCGGAATTAATTTCTCTGTGTGCTTTTATGCCACTTTTCAATACTGTGTTTGAGTGTTTCACAAACATTTGTGAATTTTTAAAAAAAGCTGACAGGAATCAGTCATCAAAAGGGTGTATTTCTGGTGAGGTTTGACAGGGGTTAATTACTGGTACTATATTTTTTAATAGTTATCACCTGCGAACTGGAAGAAAATACAAAATAACAACTTAAAATCTGAAGAGAACACAAAAGAAAATCAGGAGTGAGTTAAATAACAAAGAGGATACATCACAGAAATAGTGCAATGTAAGGTGTTCTCAGTGAAACATGCATTTTGATATGGCCAAAATGTATATGTGTACATTTTTAAATCCCCATTAGTGCGGACTCCGTGCCCTCGGCTACACGCGGCACGGAGTAGGTAGCTCGAATTAGGCTCTTTAATTCGAACTACCATTACTCCTCGGGTGTACCGGTAGTTCAAATTAGAGAGCCTAATTCGAACTACCTACTCCGTGCCGCGTGTAGCCGCGGGCACGGAGTCCGCCCTAAGGGGGATTTAAAAATGGAGGAGCCCGGCAAGATGCAAATGAAGCCCAGGATCTTTAAATCCCGGGCTTCATTG